AGCTTTGAGGTTCGGATTATGGGTGTCTGAATTAACGACTTTTGACTGTATAAGAAATGCTTTAAATAAATCTATTTTTTAATGTTTCATAAAGTTTAATCTTGCATATGACAATTTATATTTTAATATTTATTTCTTAATTATATCACAATTTATGTAATACTTGTTGAAAATTTCATATGAAGAAAGTGAAATTCTAAAAACATATGATGTGCACCTTGCAATAGAATCTAACGTCATAAAAGTGTTGCAGAAAATGAGAGAGATTTAAGACAGAAATTGGGAAAATAAACAGAGAGAATTTTCACATAGCACAATAACAGATTATTGCATGTAACAGGGAGAGCAATAATTCCCAAACATGGTAACCAAATGAAAATCTTACTAGCGAGCAGTATATTGGCAAACTTAGGAAAGTTGCTTTCTTAAAACTAAAAACTATTTTTAGATGACTGCAAGCATCCTTGTTGAATTATTTTTCTTGATAAACAATAGCTAACTGGCATCTTTACGACAGGGACACATGAATAAGAATGTGCTCAATGAAGTATATATATTTGTTGCCTCCTTTCCCCCTTTTTGTTAGTATCAGTACTTATCCCTTGTGTTACATCTTCAGTAACACTACTGGCATCAAAACAGTGAACTGACTAATAGATTCAGGCATTTCCTGAAAAATGTTTGCACCATGAGACATTTGTACAGCAAAATTTATAGCACATTTACACTTCATAAAAAAGACCTGATTTTCTCTTAATGCATTCAATTTTCGGCTACAGAAAAGCATGCTGTTAAGAATTTCCAAAGTTACATAATCTTGCCGGCCAAAAAAAAATGTGTTAATGACCACGAAATGGCGCTTTATATAAAAATTGAGCAGCAATGACGTTGCAATATTAAGGCTTGTGCAAAGAGAGTGTCAATTCAAAAGGGAACGTGGTTTGAAGGTTCTACTATTTCATTTTTGACTGCACTCTGATTCATTTATAGTTGGCGCAGAGAATTGACAACTATTGAATGGGGAAAAGAGGAATAAGAGTTAAGTGACAAGACTGTTATAAATTGGAATAACTACCTGAGAGAAGTTTGGGCACACAGTCTTTTATCAAGGCCATAAATTTGAAAGAAAAATAAGAATACAATGTTTCTTGTATTTAGTAAATGGGTTTTTCTAACTTTGGCACCATCTCTTGTGGTTGATGGGATTTTCCATACCACATTAACTACTTTTTCAGCACTTAAAATTTTTATTTTTGAATTTAGTATTTTTGCAATTCAGGATTTTTCTTTACAAATTTAAATTGGTTTTACTGCAATAGAGGTCCAGATTATATTGATTTAAAATGCTAAAATTAGAATATTGACTAAATTTTTTTAATAATAATTTTATAGGTTTAATTGAATTTCTGTTTCTCTTTTCTTTCTTCTTGGAGATAATATATGAAAAACTGTTTCTAAAAATAAATTATTAGTTTATTACTTAGCAGCTTTAGCACAAGTTTCAGGCTTATTGATTTACTTATAATAATTACTTTTACTTAGAATAATCTAAGAGCAGCTTTAAGTGCTATTTTTGTACCAGCCTACTTTAAATATATGTTGTCTACAGGAAACTTTTAAATTTAAAGTAAGATTTTCTCACCAATTTAAGGCTAACCTATCTAAAACAGAGAACACTTTTTATGAAAACCCTCTAACATTCCATCACTGAGTACAATTACATTTCCAGCCATTTCATTCTAAATTTTGCAATTAAGTAAGTTTATTTTAATTTCATTCCTGACATTGCTCTTATAACATATAAATAACTATTTTTTATTAAACTTTAATTTAAAAGATTATGTAAATTTAGATCTTCTTTTGAATTTGAAATTTAATTTAGAAATGTATAACTTCTGATTTTGAGCTTAAATATGAAAGTGTCGGGGAATATTTTTCTTAAGTAAGGATCTCATTTAGTTCTGTTCTTAAATTAACTTAAATTAAAAAGAATTTCTAAATTTTTCTTAAATTAACTTAATTCAACTTAAATTGAAAAGAATTTCTAACTTATTTTTTTTATTTAATTTATGACAGGTTTTTTGGCTTAAATGGACTAATTACTTTCTATTAATTATTCTCAACTTATAATCTAGCTCTAACAAAATAATAATTTAATCTTTACTTGTAAAAAAATGAAACACTCTCAGTTAATTGTGTTACTGTTCATTGCTAGCAGACTGGTTTGTTTCCCTTGACAAGTCAATTACTCTGCAATGACTGACATTAACTACTTTTTCAGCACTTAAAATTTTTACTTATATTTTTACAATTCAGGATTTATCTTTACATACTTAAATGAAGCAATAGAGGACCAGATTATACTGATTAAAATGCTAATTAGAATACTAACTAAATGTATTTTTCTTAAAATAATTAACAGCTTATGTTATAATTTTGATGTGTAGTTGTGCTGGCAGAGAACCAAGAAGACACGAAGACAACGAAACTAGATTCTGACAAATCACCAATTTTTATTTTCACACATATCCAATAAATTTGGCAAACACTTATTAAATCATAATTAAATATGATAAATTTCTATGTACATTGTTTTTTTAAAGAAACAATGTAGGCATTCGGGATGGGGAAGAAAAACAGCATGGATGTTGGTGTAGTGGAAGCTAAGGAAAGGAATGATGTAGTTTTTTGTGCCAAGAGTATTTATAGATGTAAGTAGAGTAGTCCAATGTAATTGTAGAGACAAGCTATGATTGGCTAATCTTAGGTTGTTACATAACATAGAAGGATCTCAAATTTGGGAGAACAGATGAATTAGGGGGACAGCACCAAATCTAGAATCGTTAATTTTGAGGTCACCAATTATTTTTAAAGCAGTTATCATATTTTCTTATCTCGAAGAGAGAGGTTCACCTTCCTTCCCTGTGCTGCATGCCACTGAGCAGCGTGGAAGCACAGAAAAAATCTGAATTAAAACTTTGAATTTTATATATATGGACATATACATACATATATTTTTAATCTCATTTTAATAATGGAAGAGTATCAATTTTTTTACACAATTAACACTTCTAAGCCTGAACAAAATCTGAATTCTGCTCGAGTGCACATACCATATTTTTTAAAAAAAACCCTATAAATTATTTAAGATATTTAATTTTCTATGAAGTAGTAAAAATTACTCCATTTGGAAAATAGAAACCAGCATAATTAAGGTTCTAAATCAATGCAATTTCTGATACTTTTAACATTACAAAAAATTCATTTCATTCAAATGCGGAATATTACTTATTAAATCAAATAAAAGCAGAATAAAATGAAAAATCTTTGATGAATTTATTGAGAACTTGTTTCATTTTAGACTTGTCAAGCAGATCTCATTCTAGTATATAAATATATAACCAAAAAATAAACACATTTATCCTTAAAAATTACGATCAGCAAATCAATAAAAGTTATTAAAATGTTTAAAAATGCACATTTTTTTTTTCAGTGGACTATCTGAGCAATTTACAAAAAGATAATGGACATATAAAATTAAATTTCACATTTCAAATCATAATCAATCTGCAATATACTAAAATATGGTACATGCATTTTGCATCATTTTAAAATCTAAATTCTTATTAGGCAGGTAAGCGATTCATTTTATCCTCTTCTTTTCCCCTTTTTTTGGGGGGGGGGGTTGTTGTTAGAATTGTAATAAAAAAATAAACTGCTTTCAAGTAATTTTGGTTTGTGATTGTGCTTTTAAATATATCATGTTCATGTATCCCTTTTTTTTTTTTTTTTTTTCCCAGACATGTTTATACACTGTGAAGCTTAATTTTAAAGATAGAAGCGTAAGAAGGGTTAAATGTATCAATGAACAGATGTACTCTTTCTTGCAAAATTTGTAAAGATTTAATAACCCTTAAACCTAATATTTTACTATATTTCAAAATTCGCAAGTAAACTATTTCCCAAATTTACTTGTCATGTAAATTTTTAAAAAAATTCAAGACATCTGTTATTGAATTTAAAAAGCTGTAAATTTCTTAAATAAATTCTGACAGCAGAATACAACTGGGACATTTTAATTAAAATCCTATACATTGCTAGAAATCAGACAGTACGATTTTATTTTAAAATTTCCAATTCAAGAATAATGATTTAATTAAACTTCCTTCAGTACACATACAAAAAAAAAAAAAATAATAAATAAATAAAAATGAAACATTGTATTTGTCACTGTCCAGCAAAGGGATGATAAACATTTAAAACTACCAAGTCTAACACAAGACGCACATATTTCAGCTGTTTAATATATTTTAAAATGCTGCTGAAATTACCCTCGATGAAAAATATCTAAAACGTGTATTATATTATGAAAAAAATACATGTACATATATTGTCCTTAATTCTACTATTAAAATTCTCGTTGAAATATATAATACTTAGCATCAAACTTTCCCACTGCTTTTGTCGAAATTATAATAGTCAAGGCCTAAAATTGAGGGAAAATGTAATGATACACATTTTTATAGCACGGTAAAACAGAATGGAAAAACATACTGAACACCCGAATAGTATATTTAGTGTGTGGTAAATTCATTAAAAGCAATTTATAAGATAATCTGGGAAACGCAACATAGTCAATATATGCATAATTTCCCGGCATATTCTTCACACTCCGATTTTATAAAATATGTATTATATTAACTTTTATTACACTCGTGTAAAAAAACACATGCAGCCAAATGTGGTCATACTCGATAGGAGGAGTTGTGTACCATGTGATTCTCTTCGTATTTTTGATACAAGGAATTATTGTTATGATCTCACTTTTAGGTTTTCTGATTTCTCGCCTACAATTTATATTTCATTTAAACTGTGAAACCACCCTATAGATGCATATGAATCTACGCATCAAAAATTGATCGGATGCCGCTGGATGTTTATGCAACTCGTAATTGAAAAAATATGATTCATTAAGGTCAAATCATTTATTACGTGCTTACCAAAATTCGTTTAAATAAAGTATTTTCCTTCGGAGGCAAAGGTTGACTTGGAGACATTATAGTTTTCATGCAAGATGTATAAGATATTTTAATGCGAAAGTATGTATTTACAGTACTCCACACGACACTCGTGTCACAACCGCGTGGTTCGAACCAAAATGGCGTTGGTATAAACGTAAAAATTCGGTTGCCAAACATGTGAAAAATATAGAGAATAGCGGAAACGGAAATCGAATAGCGGAAACGGAAGTAAGTCATAAGTCTTGAAAAATGCACTTAAGTTTAATAACTCCTCAATAATTTCTAAACTATGAAACTGTTTCAGTATGCATACATGGCTAAGTATATATATATATATATATAATGTCAAACTTCTAGTACTTATCAGAAAATTTCTTCTCGGTATTTATCAGAAAAATTATCTTACACAGATTTTGAAACAATGTTAAAACTTGCGTTATTTTGAAAACAAGATGAATGGATGGATGGACGAACGGACGGACGTACCGATGGATGGGATATCTATTCTTAAAAGTCTTTAAATACATCTGTAGCGAAAATAAATAATATAATTGACAAAGCTTTACATTATAAAAATGCTAAAAATAATAATACTCGCCAGCTTTTGCCGAGACATGTGGAACAGAACAAGTTGTAGGACCCCTTATGAAAACTATTTAAGCCGGCCAGAAGATATAGAGATTAGGGAAGCCTAACTGCAATGCTGAAGGCCCCAGGTTCGAATCCCGGAGAAGGCAGGGATGTAAAATTGTCTGTCCCTTCATAGGAGGCAATAGGGACCCACCTATTAAGTGCCTCCATAACAAAGAGACCACCACATATGGCCTTAGTAGTGGCCGTTCCTGGCATAGGCAAGCGCCCACCATTGGGGGGGGATGAAAACTATTTAGACTGAAATGGAATCCTAGGAGCACGTGAATTTAACATTGAATAAATGGACATCTTGCTATTTTTTATTGAAATTGAATAAATGAAATAAAAAAATCACTAGAAATTTCTCGCGAATGATAAAAAGCTATAAAAAAAAGCCAGAGAGAGAACATCTCAGTTCAATTGTTTCGTTAGCTGCTGCTGTTATTGTTTCGAGTTTCGTGTGAGATCGGATTAGCTTTCTTTTTGCCATTGCGTTGTATTTTAATGTTTTTTGTAGTTTAAAGTATAGCTACTGGTTATATTACGTGATATGGAGATATTGTACGAATATCCCTGAGGGAAAATCCAGCGTTCTGTAGTATTTCTTTACATAAGAAAAACATTTATTAACCTTTTATCTGACTTGGGCATTCAGTCTATAACGAACCCACACAAAAATATCTATGTAATTTTTATAAATCTTCAAACTTTTCTTTGGGCTTATTTTTCTAACTTTCACAAATTTAAACAAAAGAATATTTTTTAATTTTCTGTATTACTTTTGTACACTGCCTTTCTACGAGCACGTTCTGCCGTTATATTGTCTGCCTACTAAATTTAGAGAATGATTAACGTAAGCGCAAACTCACACAACAGTATTTAATACGAGCCTGGAATCCTGAGTACTTCCTTGACAGATTAGCGGGGTTGTCATAGCTTACCCTCGATAAAGTATAATAACGATGCTTAATTTTGCGACGGTAGACAGTGCCTAATCTTCTAAAGATGATGTTGCATGCTCTTGAGTTGGAAAAGATATATCTACTTACCTAAATATGAATAGAAATAAATTACCTTCATTTCAAATATTATATACCTAACTGAGTTTAATGGGATGTCACAGATCTGTAGTATTTAAATTTGTCTGCCTACTAAATCAACGGATATATTTCAATAATTTTTAGGAAAAGATATATAATTATACTTACCTAAATATGAATAGAAATAATTACCTTCATTTCAAATATTATATACCTAACTGAGTTTAATGGATGTCACAGATCTGTAGTATTTAAATTTGTCTGCCTACTAAATCAACGGATATATTTCAATAGAATTTTTAGGAAAAGATATATAATTTTTACTTACCTAAATATGAATAGAAATAAATTACCTTCATTTCAAATATTATATACCTAACTGAGTTTAATGGGATGTCACAGATCTGTAGTATTTAAATTTGTCTGCCTACTAAATCAACGGATATATTTCAATAGTATTTTTAGGAAAAGATATATAATTATACTTACCTAAATATGAATAGAAATAATTACCTTCATTTCAAATATTATATACCTAACTGAGTTTAATGGGATGTCACAGATCTGTAGTATTTAAATTTGTCTGCCTACTAAATCAACGGATATATTTCAATAGTATTTTTAGGAAAAGATATATAATTATACTTACCTAAATATGAATAGAAATAATTACCTTCATTTCAAATATTATATACCTAACTGAGTTTAATGGGATGTCACAGATCTGTAGTATTTAAATTTGTCTGCCTACTAAATCAACGGATATATTTCAATAGTATTTTTAGGAAAAGATATATATAATTATACTTACCTAAATATGAATAGAAATAATTACCTTCATTTCAAATATTATATACCTAACTGAGTTTAATGGGATGTCACAGATCTGTAGTATTTAAATTTGTCTGCCTACTAAATCAACGGATATATTTCAATAGTATTTTTAGGAAAAGATATATAATTATACTTACCTAAATATGAATAGAAATAATTACCTTCATTTCAAATATTATATACCTAACTGAGTTTAATGGGATGTCACAGATCTGTAGTATTTAAATTTGTCTGCCTACTAAATCAACGGATATATTTCAATAGTATTTTTAGGAAAAGATATATAATTATACTTACCTAAATATGAATAGAAATAAATTACCTTCATTTCAAATATTATATACCTAACTGAGTTTAATGGGATGTCACAGATCTGTAGTATTTAAATTTGTCTGCCTACTAAATCAACGGATATATTTCAATAGTATTTTTAGGAAAAGATATATAATTATACTTACCTAAATATGAATAGAAATAATTACCTTCATTTCAAATATTATATACCTAATTGAGTTTAATTTTATGTCACAGATCTGTAGTATTTAAATTTGTCTGCCTACTAAATCAACGGATATATTTCAATAGTATTTGTAGGAAAAGATATATAATTATACTTACCTAAATATGAATAGAAATAAATTACCTTCATTTCAAATATTATATACATAACTGAGTTTAATGAGATGTCACAGATCTGTAGTATTTAAATTTGTCTGCCTACTAAATCAACGGATATATTTCAATAGTATTTTTAGGAAAAGATATATAATTATACTTACCTAAATATGAATAGAAATAATTACCTTCATTTCAAATATTATATACCTAACTGAGTTTAATGGGATGTCACAGATCTGTAGTATTTAAATTTGTCTGCCTACTAAATCAACGGATATATTTCAATAGTATTTTTAGGAAAAGATATATAATTATACTTACCTAAATATGAATAGAAATAAATTACCTTCATTTCAAATATTATATACCTAACTGAGTTTAATGGGATGTCACAGATCTGTAGTATTTAAATTTGTCTGCCTACTAAATCAACGGATATATTTCAATAGTATTTTTAGGAAAAGATATATAATTATACTTACCTAAATATGAATAGAAATAATTACCTTCATTTCAAATATTATATACCTAACTGAGTTTAATGGGATGTCACAGATCTGTAGTATTTAAATTTGTCTGCCTACTAAATCAACGGATATATTTCAATAGTATTTTTAGGAAAAGATATATAATTATACTTACCTAAATATGAATAGAAATAAATTACCTTCATTTCAAATATTATATACCTAACTGAGTTTAATTTAATGGGATGTCACAGATCTGTAGTATTTAAATTTGTCTGCCTACTAAATCAACGGATATATTTCAATAGTATTTTTAGGAAAAGATATATAATTATACTTACCTAAATATGAATAGAAATAATTACCTTCATTTCAAATATTATATACCTAACTGAGTTTAATTTTGGGATGTCACAGATCTGTAGTATTTAAATTTGTCTGCCTACTAAATCAACGGATATATTTCAATAGTATTTTTAGGAAAAGATATATAATTATACTTACCTAAATATGAATAGAAAATAAATTACCTTCATTTCAAATATTATATACCTAACTGAGTTTAATGGGATGTCACAGATCTGTAGTATTTAAATTTGTCTGCCTACTAAATCAACGGATATATTTCAATAGAATTTTTAGGAAAAGATATATAATTCTACTTACCTAAATATGAATAGAAATAATTACCTTCATTTCAAATATTATATACCTAACTGAGTTTAATGGGATGTCACAGATCTGTAGTATTTAAATTTGTCTGCCTACTAAATCAACGGATATATTTCAATAGTATTTTTAGGAAAAGATATATAATTATACTTACCTAAATATGAATAGAAATAAATTACCTTCATTTCAAATATTATATACCTAACTGAGTTTAATGGGATGTCACAGATCTGTAGTATTTAAATTTGTCTGCCTACTAAATCAACGGATATATTTCAATAGTATTTTTAGGAAAAGATATATAATTATACTTACCTAAATATGAATAGAAATAATTACCTTCATTTCAAATATTATATACCTAACTGAGTTTAATTTTGGGATGTCACAGATCTGTAGTATTTAAATTTGTCTGCTACTACTAAATCAACGGATATATTTCAATAGTATTTGTAGGAAAAGATATATAATTATACTTACCTAAATATGAATAGAAATAAATTACCTTCATTTCAAATATTATATACCTAACTGAGTTTAATGGGATGTCACAGATCTGTAGTATTTAAATTTGTCTGCCTACTAAATCAACGGATATATTTCAATAGAATTTTTAGGAAAAGATATATAATTATACTTACCTAAATATGAATAGAAATAATTACCTTCATTTCAAATATTATATACCTAACTGAGTTTAATGGGATGTCACAGATCTGTAGTATTTAAATTTGTCTGCCTACTAAATCAACGGATATATTTCAATAGTATTTTTAGGAAAAGATATATAATTATACTTACCTAAATATGAATAGAAATAAATTACCTTCATTTCAAATATTATATACCTAACTGAGTTTAATGGGATGTCACAGATCTG